CGCGATGTGTGTATGGTATTAATAAAAATTATATATATCTATACATGTACATATAATTTTAATAAGATATAAACTTCTTTAAATTTGTTTTCTTTTTCTAAAAATTAGAGGGAGAAGACAAATTTACTAAAACATATTTCTAATTTTACGTTTTCAATCTTTTTCTTCACTATTCTTTTTTCTATTCACTATTGCACGACGATGTTACATGTCGAACGAAAAGAGTGCAATATGGTGCAGTTAAAATGAACACACCCGCCATGTCTCGATATTCTCAGCAGGTAAAGCAAGTTAAGTAAAGGAGGTAAAAGGCAAACCGGTGGAAGAGGAAGAAAAGAGGAAGATCATTTGCAAGTTATAGCATCCGCGTCGTAATGCCGTCCGAGCGAGCACCAACGTAGCGACGAATAATTATATGATGTACCAGGACACGGGCGAAGGACGAAACGTCATATGAGTTGTCGCAACAGTCTTGGTTTTAACCTAATTTCATTTGTACCTGTTTTCCAAAAGAATCTCAGGTGGGTTTGTCTCCTCAGCGACAAGAACTTGATGTCCGATCCTTGTCGAGAATAACCGCTATCTTGCTTGAAGCGAATTCGTCGTCCTTGCATCGTATAATTTCATTTTTCTTGATACTTTTGATCGTTCGATTTAAGTAATAGGGAGTTTTTGCAATAACGTGGATCCAATCACGTTTTTCTTTCCTTAATTAATTGTTAAAAAGAAGATAACATGACCTTAACGTTCGCAACGTATCTGAATAAATGTATTGCAAAATCTCCCTAATAAGTTGCATATGGAAACGGATCGCGCAATGCGTACATGGTATGTGAAATTTAAGATACCGTTAAGTACGATACTCTCTCCGGGACATCGTTGAATTGAAAAGTTTGTATCGCTCAATATTTATCTTTTTTTTTCTTCTTATTTTGTATCAACATGTAAGAAGTAAAACTTAAAAATTACTTTTGCTAAGATATATTTATTATTAAGCTACATTTGTTCAATGCAACTTGCAAATTTAGCGTTTCTTCTTTATAAATTCCTTGAGATTTTATTACTTCAGCATTTAAGTGATGTGTTATGTTTTTTTTTTGTTTATAGTAGTTCTCTGTACATGAAACATGATGTCTAATGGTATTCAGAATCTGACTGAGCAAATTGAAGATACCTCAATGGGAAATAATGTACATCATTCGTCATTGGTATCATCGCCATCGTCGGCCTTGAATTCTCCCCTCATGAAGCTATCTTCGTATTTTCTGGCAGTACGACCGTGGTCGCTGAGTGCGTCATTGATGCCGACACTTCTCGGATCAGCGCTTGCATATCGACTACCAGGCCTGGCAAGCTTCAATTGGATATCGTTATGCCTTACTGTGCTTATAGTGTTTTGCGTGCATGGTGCTGGTAATGTAGTGAACACTTATTTTGACTATGTGAAAGGCGTTGATAGTAGAAAAAGCGACGACAGAATATTGGTAGATGAGTTACTGTCCAAAGACGAATTGGTTACATTGGGGGCATTCCTATATGCAGCAGGATGTTTAGGATTTGTCTTACTGGCAGTCCTCTCTCCTGCAAAGATGGAACATTTGGCTCTTGTGTATTTTGGAGGTCTGTCCTCCTCCTTTCTCTATACAGGAGGTATAGGATTGAAATATATCGCTCTGGGCGATGTACTTATCTTAGTTATATTCGGTCCAATTTCAGTTCTATTTGCGTTTATGGCGCAAACTGGTTATGTTGAACTAGGAACAATTTATTACGCGATACCACTTGCCTTGAATACTGAGGCTATTTTGCATAGTAACAACACGAGAGATATGGAAAGTGACGAGAAAGCAGGAATCGTAACATTAGCTATTTTAATAGGTCATACCGCGTCTTACGTTTTGTATGCTTTTTTACTATTTACACCATATATAATTCTTATAGTAGTGGCGTTTAGATATTCCCTCTGGTTTGTACTGCCAGTGATCACTTTGCCGACTGCCTTTAAAATAGAAAAGGACTTTCGCAATCCGCATAGAATTCAAAACGTGCCTAAACGGACAGCTGGATTAAATTCGTTTCTAGGTATTTTATATGTTCTCGCTTGTTTACTCGTGGGCTCGCTTCCTTATTTGTAAATTATTCATGAGGCATCATCGTCCTGGATTACTCTTTCTATTCCGTTGATATTTTTTTTTCAGTGAGAAATTTTTTCATCTTGTAATTAAAGACTTGTAATTAAAGATATAATTGTTCAAAGCAGAAGAAAAGTTTGAAACATGAGTTGTTTTATTTATTTTCATACATCAATTATGTTCAATGTAACTTTCTGCCATCTCGTAACATAATTCAAATATTGTTATTATTT